ATATTGTTCTATGTGTGAAAAATGAACGAAGCTGAAATGGCTCAGTATTAATGTCAGGAGAGAGACAGTAACGCAAGGAAAGGGAGTCAGACATAGATTTTTAAATCCACAGCTGATTTACTTTAGAATTCAGGCAAATCACTTTCTGTTCATTTCCATATTTGTAAGATCCAAGTCTTCTACAGGAGAATTAATTTTTAAAGCAAAATTTGAAGTACTGTCTAAAACCGATGGCTCTGCACACATTACTCTAAGGAACCTCCTGCTCCTCCTCCTACAGAGTTACCTGTTTATTGTGAAAGGACCATAACACTAGCTCTGTACCTTCCTAAATCATTTGGAATTGTATTCGTTTGGAATTGTCTTCGCTCTGTTCTTCGATCTTAGGATGCCTTCACAGCTCAGAGTCCGAAATCTTCCTCACCATGATTCCTGCTTCACCATTTAAAGAGATTAGCCAAGTATTTGGTGAAAAATCCATGTGCTGAATTGCATGTGCCTCTAAAGCAGTTTTTGCTTTCTGGTTTCTAGAACAAGAAGACAGACAGACAGCTTGGGGCTATACTAAGAAAGATGGAAGGAAGAAAAATACCTGCTTTAGCACAGTAGAGTCACTAACCTTATCAGCACAGAACTTGTCTCCAATCTGTTTGAAAACCAGACCTCAGCCACATCCTATTGCAGGAGACACAGGCTAGAGCATATGATTGGTGACAAGGACTCACCCCCAGCCCTAAGGAACAAACTGACTCAGAGACAGAGAGCAAGATAGGACTGTACAGGATATTAGCTAGTCTCATGCTGCATGCCGGAGGGAAGGCTCTGTGGCTGGGACAGAAGATGGCAACTCAGCTGATAAGAGGAAATAGTAGAGACACATACACAAAGCAATTTTATGAGGGAACCTATGAAGACACCAAGTTCACAGCTAGAGGCAAAACCAAATAGTAAACAAGTTTGCTTAGGTCTAGGGCTGCTGTGCTTTGGCATATGCAATTGCAATCCTTCTTTTTCAGTTTGATTACTTTGTGTTTCCTGCCCATGTGACTTTTTTCCCCATGGGCTGCATTTCTTTCACTGAAGACAGCTTTTTCCTGGCAGAGCACTGTATTGTGAAGTCTTTGGTGGCTCCTACAATTTAAACACGGTGTATTACAGACTGTCACCAAACACCTCCAGCAGACAGATGGGATGCGAGAGCACAGTGATACTACAAGCACTTACAATTGGTTTACCCTTCCCTCCCCTCCCCTCCCCTCCTTTTTTCATATCAAGGAGCTAATCTCCTCTTCAAGTACAAGCCATTATGTTGTGGATTTGAAGTGCTTCTTCCTGATCTAAAATGCAGTATAGACTGAAGGTTGCTGGAGCCAGAATCCAGATTAACTATCAAAAAAGAATATTTACTTCTACTCCATTAACAGTTATTCACAGACAGAATTAAGCATCAAGCTGAAAACCAGCCATGCTGGAAGAAGAGGTTTTGCAGCAAACTGAGTGGCTCAGTCATTTGATTTTTGACGCAGATTACCACAGCAAGAATTGTTTCACCAAACGTCTCAACTCAATACCTTAAACTCATAACAAAGCTCTGGTTTGCAAATATTCACATACTTGTCCAAGTTTCCTAATATAAGTAAAAGAGCTGTCATATACAGCCATATAAAAGAACTGGCAACTGTCAGGCATGTGCACTGGTAGAATCAAGTTCATAGAACTTGGATCAGTTGGAAGACACTTCTGGAGGTCATCTACACCAAAGTCCTGCTCAAAACAGGACAAATTACACCAGGTGGCTCAGAGCCACATCCAGTCGAGTTTTCATTGTCTTCAAGGATTGGAGATACCACAACCTCCCTCAACTCCTGTTCTAATTTCTGACTACTTGTACAGTGATAATTTTTTCCTAAAGTCGTCAGAATTTTCTACACACCAATTTTTCTCTGTTGTCCCTTTCCTATCCCTGTGCCCTCTGAGAAGGGTCTAGCTCCGTCTTCTATATACCCTCACATTAGATAGTTTAAGACAGCAGAAAGGTCTACCTTAGCTTTCTCTTCGTAAAGCTAAGCAAAACCAATTCTCTCCTCTCCTACCCCTTGTGCTCCAGCCCCTGATCTTGGAGGCATCTGCTAGACTCACTCCAGCATGCCAATGTCTTTCTTCTACTGGGATGTCCAAAACAGGACTCAAAACTCCAGATGCAGTCTTATAATTACTGAATATAAGGGAAGAGTTACTTCCTCAACCTGCTGGCTTCATTTTGGTAATGCAGCCCCAGGTGCAGCTGGCTGCCTTTGCCACACAGGCACACTTCTGGCTCCTGGTCAACCTGGTTTTGAACAGAATGCCTATCCCCTTTTATGCAAAATGTTTTTTCAGCCAGTACTACTGCATGGGGTTATTCCAACCCAGATGGAATACCCACTCACACTTGCCCTTGTTAACGAGGTTTAGTTTAGTTCATTTTTCTTGCTGTCAAGGCACCTCTGAGCAGCAGCTGTGTCCTCCAGCATATCAAAACCTACCTGGTAATCTACACTACTCTTGATGGAAGCAGCTATTCTGAAAAATCAGGCACCTTACCTTTGTAGGCAGATTTTACAAAACGTACTGCTTCATTCCCTTTGCTCTGAACATGTTACATGCTTACATTAGCAGCTTTCTGAATGTCTTTTGGATACAGAAGTGTTGCCTCTATTTTCTTCTATGGGTTTGAGCTCCTTCTGGCATCACCCAGGCTGTATTGGCCCTCCATCTGACTGGTTTAGTCAGTGCCAGAGGGTAACATCAAGAAGTACCTAGGCCACAGAAGAGAACTTAAGACACACACTTGGACTAAAAACATCACAAGGCAAAGAGACAGTGCAGAAGGACACAGACTGATATTGAACTGAGACAACAGGAAATGTTACAATTCAGTTCAACAAATGCTGATGAGGTTCAGATTAGGAATGTTTAACTATTTTACATTAATAAGAAATCCTGGGACAAAGCATCATAATGGAAATCCTTTCCAAAACTTTGTTCCATTACAGATCAACATTTTTGTCTGACACTGGATGGAAACAACTTTTCTTGAAATAAGTTTCTCATCAAATGAGAATTCTTCTCTAGAGACTATCAAGAATAGTGTAATTCATTGTCAAGAAACATTTACCATGATTTCTCATGAGAGCTAAAAAGAGAACAAAAGTTTTGTCACAGAGTAATTCAAACAGATAAATCTTGTGACACATTTCAAAGGCTGACATCAAAGCAATTTTATGTAGACATTCTTTATACAGTAAATAGTTACATATAATATGCATGACAAAATATGACAGTTTCAGTATTTAATATCAAATCTAAACATAAGTATTCAGTATTTTTACACCATTTCAGTAGTCACTTAGCTCAGTAGTTGGTTGCAATAATCCTTACTGTTTTCAGGAACTGGATGAAGCTATAAGCACAAAAACTCCCATTAAAGTTAATGCATGATAAAGTTCCACTGCAACCCTCTGAAAAGCAAAGAGTTATATTAAAAGAAATTCAGACACTGAAGTACATTGAAAGGTATTGTGTCCTACAGTAGAGTTTGATACAGAAACATGATGGTAACTTCAAAAGGCACTCTGAGTTAAACTACAGTAACTCCGGTTACAAGCATTTTAGAATCTTGGTATTGTAGAGTAGAAAAAAAACCCTATATTTATTCAATATAAATTGCTTTAATCTCTGTCCTAGCCTAGAGAGTCTAATCATATTGCACTTTTAAAATATTGTGTAGGCTGTGATAAAAATCTAATATTTACATGTTGTGTTTGTTAAAGAACAATGCATTACTTTGTAAAATATTTTAAGAACCAAGTTTTAACACTTACTCTTGTATTATTAATATAACCAGAGGCTACATCAAATATATATTTTTTTTTTTATTAGCTCCTATTCTAGGAACATTTTTGGTCCTTCAAAAAATTTGTTATGCTGCACTTGATGATCACAACTGGTATCAATGTTTGCCTGAAACTGCAGTAGTTATAATATTTAAATAAATAAATACACCATTTCTAAAGAAGTAACTGCCTTGAAGTTTTGTAAACAAACTGCTGTGGAAAGTCTGTAACAAGACTCAGTTTGGCATGTTATGACTTTAATTGGCAATACTTTACAGTTATACAACCTCTGCCAGGGTAGAAAAGAGTTTGGTAGGCACATCTTATAAATCAGTCTGTAAAAAAGACCCCAAAAAATACTGATTGTTCCTTAGGTTGTATGAATAAATAAAAATTATCAAAGAGTAACATGATCCACTGAAATCAAAATTGACATTTATGTGATCCATAAGTGGAAAAAAAGAAAAGCAACTCTATTCTTTTTTAAATACAACCTAAAGGAAATCAACAAGCCATAAATGAGTATGTGATAACCAAGATGTACAGGACACAAAGGTTGGCAGAATAAAACAAGCATTATAAATTTATAGAAATACTGCTCTAGAAAGAACTGGTATCTAAGCTGCATCTCACCAGAAGACAATCATAATTAATTTTTCAATCCAAATTCAAAGAAACATTCAAAATCTGTGTCATCTAAAACAAATTCAGTGCAAAGCACTAGCTCTGATGAAATTTTGCTGACATCTAGGTTGTCCTACATTCCTGTTAAAATATGAGTGGTACCATAAAAGAAACATAACTACAGATATTCAGTTATTCCATTTACATATAAATACATGTATATGCATGTTCCAGAAATTCAAATGATGTCAGGAGGTCCATAGGCTGTATTGGATATGTTTTATATAGTACAGTTGTAGTTTACATGTTCAATTTCATGACATACCCAAAAGGCTCTACGCATGCATCCCTCTGCTTCTCTAGAGTTTTTTATTCCATATAAAATAGCTTTCTTTTGGTGTTCATCACAAAAACTGATGGTTTGAGAGAGCAAGGAAAAGCTACTCGCAGGCTTTTGTGGAAAACACAGGATTTGCTCTTTAAGATTGTTATTGATTGATGAAATGATTAAATGTTTCTGTTAAAAACCAAGAATCATATTGGTCAGCTTCCTGTTAGTAGAGATGAAGAGCTGTCACAACATCTAATCTAAAAGCCTAGTTTGTGTAGTTAATGGAGGCTTCAACAGGCAATTGAAAATCCTTCAATTCAAGAAGCCTACCCTTTCTCATTGCCCATAGGCATGTTTCTAAATGTGGTAATGAAACTTCCTTTCCTTCCCCTCCCTCCCCTCCAAAGTAGAGAATTAGAGGGATATCCAGTGCTATACCAAATTAAACCTCTGTCCCATCACTAATAAACTGCATACCTTACAAGCAAAGGTCAATGTTGTTTGAAAGGAAAAGAACAAAAATTAGCATCAAGAATTAATACAGTTCATTAAATAACTACACAATGTGATTTGCCCATAAGTTAAACAGTTAAGCTGCAACTGTACTATACTTTAGCATATACCTTACACTTAACCGTAACTGAGTTAACAGCCACATTTGCCTTTTTCTTGCTCCTCATTCAGCTGTTCTGTAGAGCTGTGCCCATTGGAGCGCACTACCCCTTCTGGGATCCAGGATTTATCCACACACCGTTCCATGCGCTTCATAATGAGGTCAAGCAGAGTTTCAATGGCTTTGCTTACATTATTTCCATTAGCTGCACTGGTTTCAAAATACGGTATCCTGCAGAAGACAAAAACCACAAACTTACATCACACAGTTTATATTCATAGGAGAAAAACAATATATGATTACTGCCACATAGTTAGAAATCACACAAATGCTGCTACTGCATAGCAGAAAGACATTAAGTGCTCAGTGGTCTGAAATGCAAAAGAACTTGACAAAATGGCTGGCTCTGTAGGTAGGGCAGAAGGGTAAGTCTTACTTTACACCATGGAGTCCACAATTTACAGAGGCATTGGTCAGTATGAATTCCCAAAGTTAGGTTCCTGAGGTCTGTTTTTTTCAATTCCATTCCCCACAAGAGATGCAACTACTGTATATGGCCTTGTGCACGTAAGTGTTCTCCTTACTGATTTCTATCTACATCAGCGAGGGTGTCATTGCAAGAGAGGGAATGCTAGTATGGATGTTCCCCTTCAAGCAGGGCAGTAAAGTCTCCTAATGTGGTACTCTCATTGCTACAACAAGCGACTGTTTCTTCTGTTGACACCCCAACTATAAACTCTCTTACATTAAAAACAAAAACAAAACCAAACTCACAACCACCCCTCAGCACTCAGATCACCTATGTCTTTGTTAACAAAAGTTTCTGAGCACCTTGGTATTGAAAATACATCACTAGTTTTCACGATTGTGGTGGACCAGGATGTTTCAATGGCGGGTCTGCAGGCTTTGACCTTCTGCACTGGGTGCTACCCACAGGGTGGTGCTGGAGTGGCTACATTAGTGTTACTTCCCAAGTGACTGATGTAATCACTTCATAGTTTTAAGTATTTCTTACTTAACTTGAAGATTCAATGAGTGGTCAAAAATATTATCATTCACCTACCTCTCCAGCTAAATGTCTGTGAAAATTTACTTTGTTTACTGCCAAGGAAAGACTAACCAATCTCCAGTGCAAGATTATTGCAATATTAAGTATGAGTTTTTAGGCAATGCAGCAAACATTAATCTCTGACAGGAAAAAGAGATATCACTCTGGCCTTTTAAGTGTTCTAAAATGCTTATTCTCACAATAATCTTTCAGTATACAGAAGAGGCATTACAGAAAGCATTTCATTCTGCTTCAAACACAGCAACAACTGGAAGGAAGTTACTTACCCATATTTTTCCGCAAGTTCCTTAGCCTCTTCTTCTTTCACCATTCTTTGGTCTTCCAGATCGCTCTTGTTTCCGCATAATACAATGTCAGGGTTTTCACAATATGCATGCATTTGTAGCTGACCTACCAGCAACAACATGAATAGGTGTCACAACTTAGTGTCACACATAAGGCTCACTACGAACACCACCACATTTCAGGGGACACAAAGTCCTTCAGGAAAGCGACTCTTTAAAAGACAAGAAATGTTCTCTGTTATCTCACGGGACTTCTGCTATTGCACTGAGGAGCCAGAGAACAGGTACCCATTCACTATCATGTTCCCAGTGAGTACACAGAAGCTGTGTATTTGGAGCTTAAGGAGTTTTGCTTGCCAAGCATCTTCAGTGAGCTGCCAGGAAAGGATATACTTCCCTCTTCTGATGGACGATGCAGTTTGGGAACTCCTTCGCCTACATACATCAGCCTAGTAACATTTGTCTTCCATTAAGTTTTGCTGACAAAGCTTCAGATGAGTTAAAATAGAGTTTTGCATAGGCTTTCCACATGCTTAAATTACTGAATATCACCAGAGTCAGGGATATGATGTTCTCTCAGCTTCCTTTATATAGGTTAAGATTCAAGTTCAGTAGGCAAAGCTGAATTTCAGGTAAGCACTAGAAGTCACCATTAGAAGCTATTACAATTATGAATGCAACATTTATTTTCTTTTACTGAGAAAGCTATAAAACCCAGTATTTTCAGTTCTATTTCTCAGTGACACTCTGTATTTACAAACATAGCCCCCTCCCCACCCGTGCAAAGAAAGAAAAAAATAAAAAAATAAAGAAATGCCATACTTATCCAGTTCCTGACATTCAGAAAGCTTTGCTCATTTGTCAAATCAAAGAGTAGCAGAAACCCCATGGCATCTCTGAAGAAAGCTGTTGTCAAGCTACGAAACCTAGAACAGCAAAGTGAAATTAGGTGGCTCATCTGACAAGTTACTTTGAAAATATAATTACATACAGTCATAAAACTGAGGTAACTTAAGACTGAATTAACTAGAATGAAACATTCATCATAATTGTTTTGCTGATGTAGACTGGATAACAAGAATTGCTAACATTCCTATGGCCTAATGAAGGCCTAAGGAAGTCAAGGAGATATTTCACTCTCATGTGAGAGATTTAGATAAAGTCTTCTGCTATAAAGCATGACTGGAATTTCATTCTTATTTTAATTTCTGAATCTTGATCAAACTTTGACCAGAAATTTGTCCCCTATACACATCAGCTCTTGATTTTAAGACTATCAACCACTAGGGTGCAAGTCTTTTGATAAACAAATAGGAAAGAATCGTTTGAGGTGATTTCACCTGTCTGACTGTCGCAAGACCTCAACATATTTACAGAAATGTAAGGAAAACTGAATAAAGAAAAGATTTAAAAACATCTATATGCATTGGCTGTGAAAAAATAAACTGAAAGTTTCCAAAAGACAAAAAGCAACAATTACAGTTTTAATGATCTACAGTTATAAATCCCACTTGTATTTCAATGGATACTCATAGGAAACCTTCCATCACCGTTAAAATAAAAGTAAGTGCATTTTCCCATCGAGTTGTACAATTAAAATACAGCAATCAATGAAGAGAATTCACATACTCGGTTCCATTTGATTCTAGCTTGATAACAACTGCCTTACTTGCTAGGTGGGGGGTGGAACGTACCTTTCCTGCCCTGCAGTATCCCAGAGCTGAAGATGTATCCTCTGTCCTCGACCACCAACGCCATCTGGCCCATTAGGTCTATACACCTGTAAAAGGTAAATTGGCAAGACTGAGCGTTAGCAGCCCAGCCTCTACAGAACACAAAATAACTGACATCTGAAGTCATTAAATGCAGCCAAACTAGCACTGCTGATGCAAAGATCCCAAGTACAACTCAATCCCTCTGCTTTATAAGACAAAAGTAATATGGGTTGCATTTTAATTTTGCATCCAATTGAATATTTAAAAATAAGGGTAAAAGTGAAACTGGAAAAACAGTATCCAATAGAGTATGGACTCCAAAAAGATATTTAGAGCAGCCATTAAGTTTCCTTAGGCAAGCTTAATTTTAGTATTTTGATTTTCTATTTTTTGCTATTATCTTGTATCGAGTTCAAATTAAAATGTAATTATAAAAAAGCAACAATCGGATTATGCAATCTGGCAATATACCACTAACAGAACCTCATTAGTAAACAGAATATACTCATAAAGATAATGATATCTCGTCTTAGCTGCCAAAAGATTGCTGAAAAAGAGCTGAGGGTAGATCTTATCATATCATAACTAAAAAGCAAAATTGGATGACAATAATAAAAGCTGAAGAGTTTATTCAGCTTGAAAATAACAGATGCTTTGGAAGGATCAGATAAAAATAGATTCATTTATTGTTTAGAACACTTCATGTTAGGTTGTCTTCTTTAACTTCAACTGTCATTGTACCTAAGATTATCAGAGTTACAAACATCTTTAGAGACACGTAAACTTGCTGAATTTGTGGATTATATGATTCAGGTTGTGAAACCTGTATCTTATCCTGAGTTATCAAACATGCAGATCAAGTAAACCTACCATGTTTACTATGCCACAAAAAGCACACTGACTTATTCAAGAGACTAGTTTCACATTTCACTAAGATATTTACTCCTTCCACTACTGTGCTGCATGTCATCCATCAAAAGCCAGTCCGCACAATGCCCATTACACCAACCAGACTTCTGGACACAGGAAATCATCAGACTACTGAAATGTATTTAATACTTCTACATAAGAATGAAAAAAACTTGTGCCAGCTCAGTTTCTCAGTGCAGTAAGGACCAGCATCCAACTGGTTATCATAATGCAGTGCTCAGCTCTGCATCAAAAGTATGTTTGCCTAGTTTAATAATAATTCAGGGGTTCAAAAAACCCCTCTACCTTATTTTCCCCACTTCTCTGGTAGTGGTAACTGCTTAGGAAGCCAGATCAGCTCCATGTATCATGCTATCCCATTTCATTAACATGTTTTAAAACAGTTTTAAAATCAACACTGCAGTCTTTGTTCACTAGCCATTTCAGTTTACAAACAGCAAAAACATTTTTACTACAGCCCAATCCTTCCTTGTGAAGGGAGTTCAACAATAAAAGTGCTACTCCAGCTACTGTGTGCACAACTCACGGAGTAGGTACGCCCATCAACGCTTGCTGAGCAGTTAGAAGTGGTCGCTTACAATCAGCTCTTCTTACTTGAACTTTGGGGGAAATGAGGGTGACAACACACAACAACGATAAAAATAACCAGGTAAAACGAGATCGTTTCCCTGTCACAAGATTAAGTGCCCAGTAACTACTGACTGCACGCCTATACATAAGGATTGGCAGGTTAGATTTTTAAAAGACAGATTCTAGCCATCACTAAGACAGATACCATTTTAAAGTAGCACATGGTTTGTGAAAACTCACCACTCTCTTTTCCCGAAAGTCAATGCCCACTGTTGTGATAAATTTGGAATTAAATTTGCCATCTGTATATTGGTAAAGAAGGCTGGTCTTTCCTACTCCAGAATCACCAAGTGCTAGAAATTTTATGAGGTAATCATAGTCCCCATCAGACATAGTGAGAATTCAGGAGACACCTTAAAAAGCAAAGCAAAACAGATTAGTTAGTAAACAACTCTGACAAGGCTTCTTTTGACAAATGTTTAAAACACAAATCATTATTTGAACTACAAAGCATCCAGCAGTGGGACCAATTCTGTACTCTTTTATACTGGTTTCACCTTAAACTTTCAATTAAGTCAGTTATCAATATCAAATTCAGCTGTGAATAAAAAAAAACCACAGTTAATTTTATCACATTCCTCTTATTACAAAGAGAAGGCAAGACAATTTTAACTTCTTCAGGAAAGACTGAAAAATCAAGGTCAAAGTATTCAAGATATGTGGAACATGAACTGTAGAACTGTTTTTGATCTGCATGGAAATTGACAAAAGCTACTAAAATGTACCAGCAATGCTATTCTGACCTCACACTCACTGTGACATTATTAACATATGCCAATAATTTTTTTTTTCCAGACTGCCCTCTATATTTGAATAAAAATTACAATAATTTTCTATCAATAGCTATTTTTCAGTCTTGAAAAAGTTTTTTCGTACCAGGAGGAAAAATAACAAAGCAACATTTTGTCATTGTTGGGGTTTGTTCTGTTTTTGTTTAGAGGACCAATATCAAAGTTTTTGAAGTTTTTATCATGATACTAGTTAATCATTTAAACTAAATCTTGATTCTGAATTGCCATTAAACACCACGCGCATTTTCCCATAGCCCATACACATTTAGGAAATTTCTCTCTCTTTTTCGTGCCTTTGAAAAGATAATCATATTAGATGTAGCCCGATCAAAGTGCAGTAAGTCAGAACATATAACAAAAATCACTGGCAAATGTCATATAGACTAGAAAGAAAAATTTAAGTGCAGTAGTACTTTCCTGTTGAGTAGCTACTGAGCCTCTCTTTCTCCAAAACAAACAGTAGAGAGTTGCCTTATGTTGTTTTCAAAGAAATGCACATGAAAAGATAAGCCTAAAATAACCATTGTAAAAGCAACAAAAAACTGGCATTAAATAGCCTCTTATGAAGGAGGGAAATAGATACCAAAATACAAAAAACAAGATAGATGATGAAATAAAATACAAAAAAAAAAGTAAAATCTGCTGTTTCAACTGTAAGTCAGTCTTTTCGGAACTACTTGTAGCTTGAACTAGATAGAATTATTCATTTCAAGTCAAACATTGCAGTAGTTTGCATCAATGGCAAAACACCAATTCATTTCTTGAACAGCAACTCACAGCTTGAGGTTTGGAACAAACTCGGTATCTCAAGTATGTGGGTGTCAATCACCATCATTAAGCTAAAACCGTAACAATCTTTAAAGCTTCAACTGTATGTATATACTGCTCTGGGTTACAAGCCAGAACTGTGCTCAGTAGGCTTAGCCATGACTGGACTGACCACAATCGAACGCAGACAACGGTCAGAGCTACACCCAGATACTCTCCAACTGAAGAGTCAGTGGAAAACCTCTAACGCTTTTTTGCCATTTCCAGGTTTGAAGTCTCCCTTTCCCCAGCCAAAGCATATTTCACATTATGCTCTCAACAACAGTAAAACCTTGCAGGAAAGGGGTTTTAGTTGACAGAGTTCATGCTCACCAGCACACCACAGACAGCTAATTCACTTTCCACTGTTACGTTTTAATACAAAGTTTTACAATAGAGTAAAAGATTGAAACAAGAAACCCCACAGAAAGAGTTATCAGTGAGCATTTTATATAAATTCACGACAACTGCAGGCCTGCATCAACCACGCAAGTCTGAAAGAGCAGAATTTTCAAGTAAGCAAGTTGAACAGGAAGCCACTCACTGACATAAGAATATTTTTAGAAGAAATAAAAAGCCCTGATCCATTAGACACACTCATATATACCAGCAAAAGGAGCGCTGGGGTTTTTGTTTCATTTTTTAAATCCTTCCACCTGATGGGGAAGGGAAAAAAAAGTAAAATCGGATCATCTACCTTGTAGCTTTTACAAAGGGTCTTTTCATTAAAATGCACTAGAAGAAAGGGAAAACATTTTGAAAAGAAAACTCAGAGGTTTTTACTAAAGACTGAATTTGATTTAGACTTCCATCTCTTCTATGGTGTTTCTTTTGCCCTCAGATGTTCTCCAAAGGCAAAGGGCTGTGTAAGCTCCCCCTTTACTGAAGTACATGTTCTTTCAGCTTCAATACCCTAAATTAATCGTTGCTTAAAAAGGCTTAAATGCAAATCTTAGGGCCAGTATTTTCTACAAAGACAAGCTAGCTTCATGTCTTTCACTGTGCTATTCCACTTGTACAGTATTTGCCTTGTCTAGTTGGTATTTTGTTAGCTAGCTATAGGTATGCAGAACATTTTTAATAAAAGATACAAATGATAATGCCACCCAAGCACTGCTAATTTGTGTTACGAGAAAGCTAATTAATCTTATGCCCTGTGCAAGGCCTTATGGAGGAAGAAACGGCGCTACAGCTCTTACTTGGAGCTCTGAGAAACGTGTTACAGTTCAGCTGCACCATTCTGCTGGACAGAGCTGGCTGAAAGCTCTGGTTAAAACAGAAGGGTCAAGGTTAGACCCTGGGGAAGTAAAACCCCAAGGTATTCCTAGTGCCATACTTGATTTGTAGAGTATCTGTTTGGACAAACACACCGCATCATTCGGACCACTTAAACCTCGATTCTCCATATGGCTGGTGACAAACACAATTTGCAAATGACTCATAGAGGACTAGGAGCCCTTCACAGAAAGGGCATAAAATGCCTTCTAAAGGATTCGCTTGAGAAGGAAATTTTCTCCTTAGGCTTTTGAAATGCACACACCTTTCACTGCACCCCATAATGTCAATCTATTATTCAAATATCTCCAGGGAGTGGCTCTTGTGAAACCCTGCACAGTTAACCTATCCTTGGAGACATGCGAAGAGCTATTTTCAAAGCAGTTTCAAGCCTTGTCCTCCTCCCTGTACAAATATTTAGAAAGTGATCTCCACCCTCCACTTCCGAAACCTGCAGTCCTAGAGCCCAGAGAGATCCAGCTCCACACAACAGAAATAAGAATATATTCACAGCAAAGCATATTCATAGCAAAAACTGCTGGGGAGTTTTTAGAAGTCATGGCCCTGTTACTATAAACCCATCCCTTTTTTTCCTTACAATTTTACCTTTTTTTTTTTTTTAATTAGGCTTTATAGCTTCACACCTTCCAGTCTTTCCTTCCACGTTTCTATACATCATATATCAGGAGAGTGGGAGGTAGAAAAGGAAAAATCAGAGAAAATTGATGATACAATTAGAAATCATCAGGTCATCAAAAGAAAAAAAAAATCTGAATTCATTTTAGAATGATCATTCTCAAATCTTGCTTCTAAGAGCAAGAACTTCTCAGCTGAAAAAAAATCACTGATGGTCACCAGTTTAGGCTCTGCATCAAGCCCTTCAGGGTTTTGCCTTTTGTAAATTCCTTCTTGAAGCCCGTTCAGCTCTGGCTTTGCACTTCACCTAGGATGCAGATGGACAGGGCTAGGAACAAGTGCTGGGAAAACTCCACTCCTTTTCCATTGCTGACAGGACCCCCACAGCCATCACTTAAGCCATGCCTGTAAGGCTGCCGCTCTGAAGCCTCCACATACACACGTCCGGATCGCGGCTTGCCAAGAAGGGATGCTCTGCAAAGCAAGTGCTGCTCTTGCCCAGTGGATTTCCTAGTCCAAGGTACTTCTACATTAACAGGCATCAACGTTAACAGGCTCATATTTTTGCCTCCAGGATACAGATATCACAACCCTATTCAAGACTATGGCAGTGTTGTTCCCAAATAAATTAAGGAAATTGGCTTGGCATGCAAGACTTCCCCTGTGCAGTATGGGGACAGGGAATATGGTTTCTGAAGAAACTGGCCTTGCGCAAAACTATGGTTGCTTCAGAGCTGATGGAGGGGAGAAAGAAGGTGGCACAAAGAGATGAAAAAATTAAAACACAAGCCAAAAAAAATAAAAAAAGCACTGAGCTGCAAATAAAAATGTGTACACACACACACAGAGTGTAAATTCAGGAAATCTGAACATGTTCTTAATCCAACAGTCCTCAAGCACATCAATTTAAAGCAAAGTATACCACTTACCCCAAACTCTGCCAAAGGAATACTTAGGGCACACTGGAGATAGTATTTCCAGTAGGGTTTTTCTAGCGCCACCTCTTCAGCACGCAGCCAAGAGGCTACGTGTCACCTGTTTGCATTCATGTTGATGGGTGCTCAGAGATAAAGGGGTGTGCCTCACGTCCCTACGTCTAAGGAGGGTGCTGCCTGACAGCATGGCTGAGAAACAAGTGCACAGTTCACATGTCCCATTTACTCCTAGAGGCATTTCAGAAGAGATTTGTGCATGACCTACCTAGGAGCCAATGCAAAGTATCTGCCAAATCACCCACACACCTTAATACAATTACACTGTTCCTAACAAGTGTCTTCCCACAAAAATGTATTAACAATGGAGTATATGGATCGCAGCTGTTCAGTTCCTTTCACAGCTTTAAAGCCTTCTCCCTGAGGTGCAAGGAGGATACAGCAGTCTCTAAGGCAAACTGCTGTTTTCTTTCTTTCTCTCTTAGAGTTGAGGACACCGTGCCGCCCATGGGTACCATGGTGAAAGCCATACTTACCATAGATTTCTAAAGAAGAGAAAAATTATTCTTTGGCAAAAATTAGATCATAAGGTATTGCGTCTGACATGATTTCAGACCACACCTGCAACACCACCCCATTTCACAAGGAAGCAATGCATATTTAATAGAGGAAGCTTTTTGGGGGTGGGGGGACTTCTCCCCACATTACACCACCTGGCCAGCCTTCCCAAGAGTGAAAAAGCCAAGTATTCTGTATGAAACTACTGAAGTAAAATAATTTGACTCAACCCACTCTTCACCCTCATACCAAGCGAAATGACTCTCTGTACAACTCAGACATCACCCCAGCATCCCAGATCTGCAGCGTAGCCAGGCATAAAGCCAGTGACTACCATGGTAGGATATATCACACAA